TAAGAATTACTATCATAAATAAGAACTTGTAAAAAGTATACCTGGTACCGTCAGTCGCGAAACGTCCTCTGTTAAAAAATCGTCGTCTTGAATATAAGGGATGTCTACAAAAATCACCGAAAACTTGCACGAGGAGCGATAGCAGTCATCTTTTGAACGGTCCTTAGGTTGTATTGCTGTGACGGGATCGTAGTAATAGTGGTAATGGCAATGATAGTGACAATGATGGTAACAGTAATTACGGTAATGATGATAGTGATAAATTGCTGGATGGTCTGTGGCAGGGGATCACTTGTCAGAACTTGGGCAGTCTCCAGGTTGTTTCATTATACTGTAGTCTAAGCGATACTGAGCTGAAAATAGAAATAGTATGGCTTTATAACAAAGAAGAAACCATATAAACTGTGATAACTTAACTCTTGTATCAACAACCAAAACCTTCACAGTTTTATAGTAACGCGGGTACCCCGAGTATCCTATTAAGACGAATCAGGTATACAGCGATAATTTTGTTCCTATACTTTTCCGAAACTTTTTATTTCCTTATTTTATAACACACAAGAATTATTTTAAATTGAGCGTACAAGCGTAAGGTATAAAACTACCTTTTATACTGAGCGGCAATGGGTCTAAATAGACAATTATTCGATTTGACAATTCAGATACACGATAAAAATGGACAGATAATAGTAAAGCAGCTCTTATACAAGATATATGGATCATTCTAAATTCAAATTTAATAAAAGCATACAGACCATCAGTAAATGTGACTCTGGATGAACAACTTTTTCCTTATAGAGGTAGAAGTAAATTTACATAATATATCCCAGGAAAGTCAGCTAAGTACGACATGAAAATATGGTGGATAGGTGATTCTGAAAATTATTACCCATTATCTGGGCAAATTTACACAGAAAAAACTACACCAGGCCGAGAAAAAAATTAATGTGGACAAGTTATAAAAGATTTATCTGATACCTATAAATGATCCGGTCAAAATATTACAAAAGATAATTTTTTACATCTCTTCCGTTGGCGAAATACCTCTTATCGTGGAAATTAACAATTATGAGTACAATAAGAAAAAACAAAAAATATATATCTAAAATAATGGCAACATCTAAGTCACGTGAAGACTTTTCCACCTTATTCGACTTCCATAAAAATGTTGCGATTTATTCGTATGTGCCGAAAGAGAAGTCTAATATTGTGATCAACAATGCGTACTGATAATGCTGTTTCTGGGTCAAAGAGGAAACCAGAAATTGTTCAATTTTATAATAACACGAAGTTTGGAGTGCGTATAATGGACCAAATGTTATAAGGGAACAGTACACGCAGACGAACTACCAGATAGTCACTACTTTTCTTTTATAATATAACTGATGTTGCTGCTCTTGCTATCTACATCCTATATGTATATCTCAAATAACAGTATACTCAGAAGTAAATTAAATAGCTGCCGAAAATTTTTACATCAATTGGGGAAAGAACTTGGTTTTCCAACCAGTGTAAATTGATTCTCAAACATTCAAATAATGAGACATTTTTCCACAAAAATAGCAGTAGAAGGCATGTTAAACAGACCAGTTACAATAATCAATATTCCTTGCACTTTTACTTCTGCTTCACAAGATGCATAAAAAAGAGAAAGACTAGTAGGACTGTCTAGTGTTATGCTAATTATATTACAAAATGAAGGAAAACATGTAAATACTGTAAGAATTGTCTATAACCAATTTGTAATGAGCACACAAAAACAATTCCATATATAATAATTGGCCCTTAAGTAGTTAATAATTCTATATTCTTAATAAATTAAGAATCGTGCATGCTGTATAATTTCCTTGTAAAATTTTTCTGTGTCTGTTTAGAAATCATCTAACTACTACATACTTGCTTTACATGAGTACCCAGGTATCCCAGTTATTGAATGAGAACGATTAAAATTTGTTGTGCAAATTTTTCATTTTGAAAACGTAAATTAATGTAAAAATGCCCAAGGAATGGAGATCCAGATCGGTTTTACGATGTCTCAACAAGATAAAAAAATTTTCTAAATGAAACATGGAAATAAGTACCCAGGTACTCACTTATTGACACAAGGATTAAGTAAATTTATATTATTGTCAAACTGATATAGCAAACAGTTATTTATTCTATGTAATAGAATTTCAACAAGAAAATAATTAGTAGAAAATTTATATATTATATGTATCAATAAATTTACATATAT